CTTCCAAACTATATGCCAAAAATTGTGCATCTAAATTTTTATTTAGGAAGACTTTAAAATTGTAATCCAAATTGAAAGTTAAATGTGACCCAAAAGATTAACAATTACTGCTTTCTAGTAGAATAAGCCTAAGGGACCCTAAATAACTTGGTCTTTATTCATTCAGCTAATTGACAAAATATTTGTTGAGTACTACTAAATGCCTGACAGTAATAGGTGCTGGGAAATCAGCAGGAAACATGGAAGCTTGATCTCTGATCTCAGGGTACCTCTAGTCCAGTTGGGATGAGGGTAGACAGTAAAAACAAATGTGAAATTATCCGATGATAACATACTACAATAAAAAATGATGTAACAGAAAGTGAGTGAGATTAGGTGATCAGAGAAGACCTCTCTGATGGAGTAACATCTTAACTAGGCCAAGCATCTTCTGAGGAAAGAACGTTCTAGAGAGGGAATAGCTCTATAGAATTTACAGATGCTGAGGGAGATAGCTTGTTGTAATCCATAGCTCTTCTGGAAGACGTGAATGGTAGATCCACATTTTCAATAGTTTAGCCTTGAAATATCTGCATGATCTTGTCCTTATTTTCATTTTATTTAAATTACATTTCTTAATGTGAGGGAAAGATAATTCTCAGAAAATAATATGAATATATTGCTATACACTGAATTCATTCAATAAATATTGGGTCTACTATCTTTAAGGCACCTTGAGAGATGTCCTCAAGGTGCTTAGCAGAGACTAAATAAAAAATAACTTCCATGCATATAAACCATAATGTATCTTAATCCAGTCTTGTATTGTTCTGCATCATAGGTTTATGAGCTAAGTAAATTCTAGTGCCCAGATCCCTTAATGCAGTTCAAAACTCAAAGCTCTTTAGAAAGGCACCAATCACCCTGTTAAAGTTGATGGATGAGTAGGAGAAAGAAACACATAATGAAAATTGGAGCTAAAAATTCTTTGCAATAGGAACATTTTACTCTCTGGCTTGAAAAATGTTCTAGTCAGGTCTGGCTGTATAGATCAATAAATTAAGATGTGCCTAAAGATCATAAATAGCTCCCATATTATTAGATGTTCACTTTCCTAAATGAATTCTTTATGAATATGTTAAGGAAATAATAGACCAATATGATAATTATGATGCAAAGGTCACAGAATTCTATGTGGTGTTTACTAGGCATCTCATCGAGGACTCTATGCATAGAGCTTTTCTTAAAAAATTACATATATATATATATATATTTAGTTGTAGATGGACACAAGACCTTAATTTTGTTTATTTATATTTTTTTGTGGTTCTGAGGGTCGAACCCAGTGCCTCACACAGGCAAGCTCTCTACCGCTGAGCTACAGCCCCAGCCCCATATGCACAGAGCTTTTGATGGGACTATTAGTAGTTTTATTTTACAGATATGGAGAAACTAAGGTTTAGAGAAGCCTAATGACTAGCCTGAGTCACAAGGCTTCTTAGAAGAACCATCAGCAATTGGAACCTTAGGCAGTGTGATTCCAAGACAGCGTCTCTAGTATTGTTGGCCAGCCCTCTTGGAGCCTGGTTGCGTTGTGTATTATCTCTGATAAATTCATCCCCTGCACGCTGATTAAAAGGCTCTGGGGAAATAATAATCATGTTCCAGTTAATTTAAATATTACCCTAAACAAATCAAATACGATGGCAAATAACTAAGCATAACACATGATTTTTTTTTAAAGTTTATTTGACTTTGGATCAGAGTCAATTATATGGAACATCAATACTATTCCCTTTTAGGAGAAAGAACGAAGAATTGAATGTACTTATTTTAAATTTCTTGGTTAAAAGTACAAACATTATTCTGCTAATTTGTTTCTGCCTCCATTGCTTTTTGATAATGAAATTTCAATTTGGAAAACGGAGATTTTTAAAGTACATCCAAGTTTAGATATCGAAAAATAATTTCTCCCCTTTTCTTTCAATCCTCTAAAACTGTTCATGTAGGCTGCTGGGAGATGAATCCCTCTTGAATTATAATAGGAGCAGTAGCATATTATGCACTTAGGTACCATTAATTGAATATTTGTGTAGTGTCATGCATTGCCGAGCACCATACAATTTGATTTTATCCTCACAATGATACTTTGAGTACCTCCTATTATTATTCCTAGTTCATAGCTTAGGAGATGGGGAACCACAGAAATTGCTCACCGTTCAAGTCCTCCAAGCTCATAAATGTAGGGGGTCGGTGCCAGGCTTAGTGACTCTGGATGTCAGGCTCCCTACAATTTCCCCGTATTATTTCAATTTGATCATGTTTTCTTCCCTGACACATCAATGAGGACACTCTCTTTCCCAACCTGGATAGTCTAAACTCTTTAGAATTTAAGTCTGTCAACCATCTGGACTTTCTTTTTAACCTGCCCACGCCAATTTCTCAGCATTCTGTACTAAATACTGCCCTCCAGGCCTATGAGAACCTGCCTCCTCTCAAGACTTCAGATGTCCTTCCACCCACAATCCAGCTAAAGTCTACTGTTTTTAAAGGACCAGCTCAAATTCCACTTTTCAAGTCACTTTCCAGACCACCCCATCCCAGAGTAAGTAACAGAAGAGCTGCATCTGCTGCCTACCACAGCACACACCCATGGCGTCTCCCAGGGCTTCAGCAACCTGGAACCCTGGGGAGATTAGGAGAGTTGGGTTGGAATGTGCTATTGAGCAATTTTCTCAGGAGCATTTCCAAAGCTTTTATCAGTTTCTCAAAGCTTAACAACCACTCAGCACCCATTAGTCTGGAAACTAATGATATTAAATGCTAATATTCCCCGAGTAGAGTTACAAGAGTTAGCAAATAAAAATATTATATGGGACATATGTATTCTAATGCATGACTAGTGTATTTAATTTAATTGAAATTTAACTGGGACTTTTTACTTGATCTGCAAATTTGTACCTGAATGTTTCCTGAATATTAGTCTTATCTCTCAACTATGCTGAATGTAAACATCTGGAGGGTAAGGGAATTCACTGTTACCTTAGAGAAACTCAACACTCAACTCTTATTGCTAACATTGATTTGTTTTTGTGATTCAACAGAAACATTTTGGAACATTCTTCATTTGGGGTCAATTATTGATTTGAATAGTTATATTGTAATTTTATATGTTTTTTGCTACAAGGAAACAGATGCCCATTATATCTACTAAACCAAATTTGATCATCTCTGTTATTTGCTAGTTTCAGATGTATTCAACTCCTCTCCATATATCTTTTTTTTTTTTTTTAAAGAATCCTCTTAGGTCATGCCCAAATTATTATTAGATTTCAAAGTGAGCTCTCCATACCCTTTGATTGAGTAGTGATCACCAAAGGAGTGTGTTAAAAATACAACTGTCTGGGTGCAATTCCAGACCTATTAATTCAGAACTGTGCAGAACGGCTCCAAGCAATCTAGGTTTTTAATACTCCTTCCAGATGACTGCTATACTCTCTAAACTTCAAGGACTACTTGTTTATGAATGTAATACTCTAGAAAAAAATTGTTCTCTAAGTTAGAGAGGAAAAGTCATCATTTTAGTTCTTAAAGATAAACCACCAACATTTTGGAGTTCAAAATGTCAATCATTTTTTAAATGTTTCTTCAGTCTATCACTCTAGTGTTAAATGCTGAACACTACGTAAATTTTCCATTTGGGGCTTACAAGCATTTAAAGAAATTGGTAAACAAGCATTTAAAGAAATCTCCAAGTTTTACCTCTGGATAGAAGGAACTCTGGTTTGGAAGTTGGAAGGCTTGGGTTCTCTACAGTCTCTATATTTGGGAGCTTCGGTTTCCTCATCAATAAAACAGTGGCTTATACCATTAGCTAATCTTTTTTTAAAAAAAGTATCTATCTTCTAGCCCCAAGTTTCTATTACCATTCTGAGGTTCAGTTTCCACTGCTGTAAAATATGGGGTTTGGCCAACATGCAGTCTGCCCATTTGTCCTGTGTGTCTGTGGTAGCCCTGAGTCTCCATCACTATACTGGGACCTCCATTCATAATTTAGGCTCACTCTTACAGTGTAAGATCAATGATGGTTCATTTAGATTATTCCAAGGAAGAGATAAAACATTGACCATTTGTACATGTCCTTTCTAAGAGATAATTATTCATTCAAATATGTTTATTGATCAACAACTTTGTGTAATTTGTCACCATGCTGGGCCCTGGGAATACAAATAATGACACAAGTCAGAAAAAAAGAGAGGTGACTTTTGCAATCTACATTCTGATGGGGAAGAAGATAATAGAACCAACCATGTATAAACTGAGTAAATAAATAACTCAATAATGAGATAATAAAATAAGTAAATAAATAAAAAAATAAGGTAAAGAAAATAATTTCTGTTTGTAATTGGTGTTGTGAGGGATTACTGAGGCCTGAAACACATAATAACCAAAGGAAAAAGAGATCAACAGGGGCGGGGTAGGGGGATGGAGAAAGGGGCAGAACAGGGGAGAACATATTTTAGAATCCTGTGGGAGGAATAGCTTATGCACTTGGCCACCAAAATTCTGGAACAGTTCCTTCAATCTCTGAGAGATAATTGAATCCAAAACTAGATAAAGGGAACCAGAGGCCCAGAGGGTTTAAGGAACTCATTAGAGGTCAGACAGTCAGTAAGTTAGTTAATGGAGAACTCATCTACATGGCAGATCAGGATGTGGACTTTTCTTAGAGATTGCAATCCAGGAGGAAACACGAGGCTGCCTCGGTTCAATCCTGAGTTTTTTACTCATAAATCGTTAATCTTTGGTTGGAAGGTCTTCTTTAAGCCTCAGTTTCCTTTTGTGAAGCAGAGACAATGACTACTGTGTCAGATTGTGACCTGGTTTTAGTGAGATAGTGTAGCACAGTACCTGGTATACCATAGCTGCCCGATAAATGCAAGCTCTTTATTTTTCACCTAGTGTACTTTCACCCATGCCAAACTGCTAGAAAGTCCAAAGGACCGCAGAGGTTAAGTTACCTGAGTAAAGGAGGAGTGATGGCAGAGAGAAAGTTCTGGAACACTGGGCTGGGGCTCAGCACCTATCCATATGAGAAATCTGAGTGGAGGAAATGAGAAGAAAAAGCCACTGAAGTGGGGCCATGTCAAGGGAAACATCCTCAACTTCACAGTTTTACACAGCTTAATCTGTGAACCCAGAGTAGTCTTCACAAAACAGAAAAGATGACTAGTATCAATATTTATATTCAACATCACCATATAATAAACAGGTTTTACTCTCGGATACCAGTAAACAGAAGAATGACACACTTTATTATTAAAAATGTGCTAAGAGAAAAATGTTAACATGTCACTCATTCGACTGGGAACAAGTTAATTATCTCAGAATATTAAAATAATAGCTGGTATTAAGGATGCTTAAATCAAGCCCATGCTATTGCAAGAATGAATAATTTATGCAAGTGATTGTGAAGCCTTTTTTTCACTGTCTATGAATGAAACCACAAAATGAACTTCCGCCTTGAAATACCAAGCAGCATATTTCATGGATTAAAATGGACAACTATTAGGTTGTTCCACAAACCTGCCTGCCCTCCCCATAGGCTTACTTACCCCAAATGTTAGGGGATGTTAATGGTTCAGGCACACATGAATCAAGAATGAATATTTCTTGGTTTCAGAAGTTCATTGGTCCCTTTCCCCCCAACCATAAGGTAATTGCCATTCCTTACATAGCTTTTTGAAATGCTGCTTACTTTATGATTCTCTGCCGATGCTGCCTTATGGAAGAAATTTTATTTCAAAGTTTCAGAGGCTGTGAATTGAACTCATTATTTCACTCCAAACTCATTGTTTAATTGACAGGAAACATGCATCTAAATCATCTTGTATGCATGGCAGAAGCAGCTACATAAATTTAACAATGGGTGGATTATTACTATTTAGCATATTCGTGAAATTTTAGATTCAGGAAGCATTTACAAATCTTTTATTAGTTAATCCCTACACTTCTGAATGAGTCTGACAGGTGGCAAACAATGCTTGAGGTCTGAAATTAACAATATATGAAAACTTTAATGGGGGGAGGAACTAAACCATTTCTCCTTGCTCCTAAATGCACCTACTTTTTTCTTCTCACCAGAGACTAATGCTAGAGGCCCCGGAAGGAAGACAGGCTGTGCATAACTGAATCACCAGTAATGAAAAAGGAACATACTGGGACCTGTCTATGGTCAGATAGGCAAGACCCACAACAAACACTTGCAATAATGCGACCTGAGAAGCACGTGAAAAAACATACACCAAAGCGGTCAATAGTCCTTGAAACTGTGCAATAAACTTAGTTTTACATTTGAACAACGTCATACCTGCCGGACAAATTAATGAGTGACATCAGCCGCTATTAATTCTCTTAAATGTATATATGTATAGTGAAAAATAAATCCAAATTCAAATTAAGAGAGTTTATTTCTCTCTCTCTCTCTCTCTCTGAAGACTCACAAGTTTAAAAATCTGTTTCCTTGAAGAGCAACTTCAAAGTTTTTATGAGTCCTGCAATCTACCTCTTCTCCAGACACCAGAAGGTGTTGCAGAGCAGGGTTAAGAAAGCCCTAAAGAATCAAAGTCTAATTCCTAACCCAAACCTTTTTACAGCCCGGGGCTTTCAGAGCTAACAAACCAAGGTAAATCAACCCCGCATCACCTGAGGGCCGATGTGAGGAGCCGCAGATGCTGAGCCTACTTTCAGAAGACCCCAGTACAGACACGTCCTGCCCAGATTCTTATCTCTCCCGAATGACAGTGACTTTATCCCTCTAATCCCTCCGGCCACCCGCCTCCGCCTGCGGGTCCTGTGCGTGCGTGCGTGCGTCCCAGTGTCTCTGTGCGTTTGTGTTGGGGGACAGCTGGGCAGGAGGGTTCAGGAACCACCCAAAGGATTCTGGAAACAAGCCCCTCTGCGGCCCTGTGCTTGGCTCAGGCCAGCTGGGCGGCTGTCAGGAAGTCAGCAGGAGGAAACCAGGTTTCAAGGTGCAAAGGGACATGTCTGCGGCTGTGCGGAGGGGTGGGCGGAGACCCTCCATAGCCACGCCCACCCGCCGGGCGCCGTCCCGCCCCGCCCCACGCGGCACCCGCGCTACCTGGGGACGCTGAAGGCACCGGGCGGCGGCTCTCTTGCTGCCGGGCCGCCGAGGCTGGAGCGCGGGCTTTGTAAAGCCGCGGCCGAGCGTCCGCCCCTTCCTACCTCACCACCCCGCCCCCGTCCCGCAGCGTCCCGGCTACGCCTCCCCGCGCCCTCCTGCGGCCGCCGCTGCTCTGCGGGCACCCGGACTGCGGGTCCCTCTCCATGCTCGTGGCCTGCGGGGAGTCTTCAGGGAGCGGCCTGGGAGTTCGAGTCGGTGCCGGGTACCCAAGCCCATTTCCCTATCCCCCGGGAACCGTCACCTCCACGAGTCCAAGTTCCCCCCCAGCACCTCCCCCCGCAGCCTTGGGACTAGGCCCCCTTGGGCGCAAGGTAACTGTGACTCCGCACAGGGCCCCAGGGCCCCCCGCCCCCCCACCCAGTGAACGCGTCCCTAAGACCTACCTCTGGAACTCACTGGGGGCGTCGAGCGAGGGCAGCTCCTTCTACCAGTGGAGATCACGTCTGGGGAAAGTTTTAGGTGGTGTCAAGGGTCAGCCATCTCTAGGGGCGTTCTCTAGTCAAGAGAAGGAAACTAAAGAGATTCCATCTGCAGGCTCTGCTGACATCACAAACCACACATCACTTGGTGTCGTCTTGTGTAGTTACACAAGGACTCACCATCCTTACTGCAGCTGTCTGCGTGTTCGCCTTTCAAAGCCTCAGCCTACTGACATTTCAGTGGAAGGGATTAAGGAACATAATTTTAAGTAAAAAAAAAAAATAGTATTTGAAATTAGTACACTTATGTTAGCTGTGCACCAACCTGCAAGTTTGGTCACCTCTGAATAATTCAGAGCTTCCAGTGACCAAGATTAACTAGGAAGGCACTAGGGAGCACCTCCTTATTTCCAGAACTTTCTGTCTTTTTCACAGCTTTCATTTCCCCTGAGATGTGAAGGAGGGTGAAAATAAGATGCAACAAAATCAATCTGAAGAGCTTTTAACAGCTGGTATAAAAGTTTATGGGAGAGGAAGTATGCAATCATTGAAAATAGAGTTGGAAAGTTATAGACCTCACCCTTCATTTTTACCGTTTTTGCTTGAACTTGAATAATGAAGGGCTAGTTGTGTCTATTATTTTTAGCAGAAATAACACCAAGAACTATTAAGTAGATTAAATGTGTAAGACAAGTTATGATGTCAGATCAGTATAAAACTGTATTGCCGGAAGAAGGTGTTAACTAGAAGATGTGAAAGTACAGGAGACCCACAATGCTTTGAAGCTGTACAATTTTTTTTTCATAGAGTTTAAATAATTCAAAAGGATATGTTAGAGAAAATAGAATCTCTGTAGTGGTAACTGCTATCTAATGAAATTATTTCCTTTTCAAGATCCTTATTTCCTTCAATTGTTTCTAGTAAGATGTGATTTCAAGAAGACTCAAGGCTTTGGGCACCCATTCATTCTTTACAGTATTTAATGAGGGCTTAGAGTTCCTGGCATTGAACTTGGTGCAAATCATGAGAGAGAGAGAGAGAGAGAGGAGAGTGGGGGGGAGGGGGAGAGGGAAGAGAAAAGAGGAGGGGAGATGAGAGGGGAGGGGAGGGGGGGAGGAAGGGAGAAAGAAGAAGAGAGAAGAGAGAGAAGTTCTGGAATTCACATTCTAATGCAGGAGACAGCTGCTAAGTTGCACCTGTGAAAAAATGTACATTGGAAGTACAGAGTTCTAGGAGAAGACACCCTCCAATTGGTTTACTTGACTTCTAGATTCTTCTTTTGATTTGAACCATAGAATAATTTCAGGCTGTAAAGATGTTTTCATTATTGTTCTTTCATATTCTATACACAATCCATTAGGAAATTCTAATGGTTCTGAGATTGAAAAGGATAGGCAGTGGACAGTAAAAGTGGACAAGAGGGCAAGCAAGAGGACAGCTATTTTAATGTGTCCTGACATGTTATAAAACAGTTCCTGTTTCCAAGAAAGGGTGAACATCTCCATTTTTCAGAAAGTGACTGGATAATCCATAGTCTGGCCTGTGCTCAATGTGAGACAAGTAGAATATCAAAAACCAGTCGAGACAAAGGGGAATGAAGGGAAAGGAGGGAATGGGAATAGGAAAGACAGTAGAATGAATCAGACATAATATTCTTATGTTTGTATATGAATACACAGCAAGTGTAACTCCATGTATAACCACAGAATGGGAAGTTATTCTCCATGTATGTATGATAAGTCAAAATACATTCTACTGTCATTTATAACTATAAAGAACAAATAAAAAATTTTAAAAAACCAATCAAGGTCTGGGATTGTGGCTCAGTGGTAGAGTGTTTGCCTTGCAAGTATGGGGCTCCGGGTTCGCTCCTCAGAACGGCATAAATAAAATAAAGGTATTGTGTCCAGGTACAGCTAAAAATTTTTTTAAAAAAAATCAATCCAAAGGAGCTTATTAACTTCTCCTTAGATACCTTTAAAAAGAGGAATGCTGTAAGATATAAATGACACTCTCACCCCTCCCAGGTATGCTGCATGGGAGTTCTGAGTCTTTCTCTTACTTTCCTTTTTAATAAAATTACCACGGTGTGTTCCTGGTATCCATTCTTTGACTCTGTGGAACATGAACCCGATCCTGACTCCAGTTCTATCTTTAGTCCTGTTCTGAACTCAGTCTCCACCACTACCACTCTTCTAAACTTGTGTTGCTTACTTGAATTTTTGAAAAAGCCCCTAAACTTGTCTTCCTGCTCTTAGTCTTTTCCCTATAGTCTATTATCTATACAGCATTTAGGATGACCTTCTGAAAGTATATGCAATTAGTTTATGTTAATCCTCTGCTCAAAAAAACCAATCCCATTGTTCTCAGAATACAATACAAACTTGATCTTGACATCTGAGGCCTTACCTGCTTACCACCTCACTTTCCTTACCTCCTTTTCCATCACTGTCTCCTCCCATATGGTGCCACAGTCTTTCTGGCCTTTCTCTTGCCTTCTCAATCCTCCTGCTTCTTGGCCTTTGAGCAGGGACTCTTCTAAACTATAGAGGCTTTCTCCTTATTTATATAAGTATCTGCTCCCAGAAGCAGTCTCTGTCCACACATTTTAAAATATACCCCCTTTAAATTCCCCTCATTCTCTTTTCCTTTTGATGCACACATGCATGCTCATGCACAGGCAGACATGTTACCTGCTCTTTTGTATAGAATGAGAACAGCATCTTGGTTATGATGAGAGTTACCTAGAAGGTCTTTACATATTTGTTGAAAGCATAACAGCTGTTATGGACTGAATGTGTACCCTGAAGATTCCTGTGTTGAAACCTTAACCTGAAACATGATTGTTTTTGAAGATATGGCTTTTAAAAAATAATTAAGATTAAATGAGGCCATAAGGGTAGGGCCCTGAGCCAATAGCATTAATGGCCTTATAATAAGAGGAACCAGAAAGCTTGCTCAATCTTTCCATTGCATGCACTGAGGAAGGGCCTTGTGAGCAGACAGTGAGAAGGTGGCTGTCTGCAAGCCAGGGAAAGAGCACTCATCAGGAACTGAATCAGCTAGGACCTTGATCTTAGACTTCCCCACCTCCAAAAATGTAATGAACTTTTATTGTATAAGTCACGTAGGTAGTCTATGGTATTTTGTAATGGCATCCCAGGGTGTCTAAGACAAAACAGATATAAAAGAAACAAGCAACTCAGACACAATCTACACTCACACAGTATCACTAATCACTTCAAGATCAGGTATGCAACTAAATGGTAGAATGGTGTGACCTTTAACCAATAAACAACACTTCACAGCACCTCCCAGAATAAATAAGGTTTTAAGAATAATTTTATCTTGACCTGAGAATAGAAAATTGTTTAAGATGAGCAAATACCTCTTACAACTTAGAGAAGGAAAAGCTTATTTTGGCTCACAGTATCTGAGGTCTCAGTCCATGGTTGGCAGACTCCATTGCTTTGGGCCCAAGAACATCATGAGGGGAAGCTTCCCCCCTTAAGCCAGCAAAGAAGCCAGGAGAAGAGGGGAGAGGCCATAGGGAAGATGCACCCTTCCAGGGTAATCCTCCCCCTGCCCCAGTTACCTACCTCCACCTGCCTACAGTCATTCCCCCACTGTATACAGTCACCACCCAGTCTGTTCATTCAAACTAGGATGGACTGAATAGATTATAGCTCTCAGAATCCAATCATTTGTATTAATTTCAGGAGCTTTGGGAGGGGTTCCCCTCATATCCAAACCATCAGTTAGGAATGACTGATGCTTGGAGGACAAAGAATGATCTAGTCACCATTGTGGAAAATGCTGTTTTCAGAGCAAACTCATTCTCTAAAGTGTATAAAAGTTCCCTGCTGGTATCAATGAAGAATGCATATGCAGCTGTGTGCCTAGCACATGACCATGACCCACTGATGCACAAGCAAAATATCAACTGCTTCAGGTGCCGGCTCTGGTTACCTACCACAGGGGTTTAAGTGTTTGACTTCCAAAATAGGTTATGGAGAATAAATATTAGAGCTTAACTTATATTTTTATTGTAAATTGATAAAAAGTTTTG